AAGCTGCTTCTGATCTCAAAGGAACCAGGAGCCTATGTGGACTAAGGGCATACGGAAGGGGTTGCCACTTCACACTCACAGAAGGAAGGAAAACAGATTTTCCAGCCATGGATCTGGCGGCGCACGTCGGACATGCGCTCCTCCTGCAGGAGCGGCCAAAACAGGGAGCGCCGCGTGCTTCCATTTGGCTTTTCACTGCACGCGAACCATCGGACTGGCAGAGAAATAATGAAACGTTTTTTGGCTTGATTTTTGCAGCTCAGCCTGGTTCATGGGCAATGAAGCCTGGGTTACTGCAGCGGTCACAAGGAATCTTGTGCGGATTCACAATAAGCAAGTACACAAAACCTGACTGACTGCTTGGCTTCTATGACTCAATCTTAGTACAATCTGCGTTGATGTCATGTACCGACATTCAGGGATCTGAGGGAGCGCAGGGAACCCTCAAGGAAGCTTCGGGAATGCTGTGCCAGTGCATCAGACTGCAAGGGCTTGATTTGTAGTCTTCCTTTCTGTGTATGTCGAACACAATGAGAATGACTTAGTCTGGAGCAGTCCTGGGTAGTGGCCGAACGCTCCGTAGCATCAACCATGGCCTCAGAATATCGTAGGCAGGAAGCGACATGAGCGTTGAGGCCATGATCTCAGAATACACAAATGAATATCAATGCATCAAAGACCAAAGATGTTTGGATCCAAGCGTAACCTGAGTTTCCCTCAACTCCTGCAGCCATAGACTTGCACCTCACTAGTCAAAGGTATGTCTTCTAAGTATGAAAGCCAACATCAAGCCAGAACCCTACCTCTCAAACCCTAGCATACCCCATATGCCCGAACAGTGCTCAAATACTCAACCTGGCCTAGCAACAAAGCCCTGCTTCTGGCAATGTAAACGCGCCAAGCCCTCATCATCCGTATGCTGTACATGGCCCTTCCAATCAATCCTGTATTTCTGCTCCATTTCTGTAATATGTACCCTAAACATGGTACATTTCTGACATTGCTGATGGCAAAATGCAAACGCTCAAATCATAAAGCTCAAATATGCCTCCCTAAATTCCATGCTTGCGGAGGCCCCTGATCTCCAACCCTCCAAATCCCAGACCTGACAAAACAATCAGGAACCTCCAGTTCCAAAACCCTGCACCGCGGCTACCACCAAGCCCAAGTGGCGTTGCCCTGCTCTGCAAGTGTGGCCAAGTCGGAGCGGAGGGATGCGAGGATCTTCTCAGAGCCTTTTGTAGCAAATCTCCGCGTGTTGAGTTAATTTGAGTCTCAGTTCAGGCCTGAACCCGAACCAGTCCGAAAGGAGAGCTGCCCAAACCACAGTCCCCACCTCCTGCAACCAGAAAGCCTAAGCCTCGGACCCTGTCATTCCCTGGTTCGCACTCATATGCTTTTCCAAGCAACTCGTGGTCTGGGAGCGAGACAGCGTGTCACTGACATCGGTCACCTGTCAAGGACACTGGGCTAAGGGCCCTGTGCGCGTGCTCCCGCTATGGCTCGTACCGGCAAGGCTGTCCGGCAGGAAGATACTGACTTTGCCGCATTGAGAAGCAGGGTTCATGGTTTAGATTACCGCCTTCAGCGCCAAGCATTTTGGACAAGCTTGATGTCCCGCAACCAGTTAAAATTCGCAGAGGGGTGGTTCGCAGCTTCAGGGATTCAGGAATGCTAAACTTACGAGTATGGTGGCCTCTTTTTTTGTACATAAGTTCTGCAGCTGGCTGCTAAGGCTACTGAGTACTGAAGCCCGTGTCCACAGTGCACTTGCCACACACTCTAGATCAAGGACAAGGGCTGGGACGTAAGGGAAAATTCTTTGGCTATGTGTGCAACTCTTGCCTTCTTGCCGATGCTGTTCTCCATCTCAACCAGGCGCCGCTGCGTGAACCTGGGCTTGTCTGATGATTGTTTTAGCGGAAGCGGGGCTGTCGAAGGTCCTAAAAGCCTCTTGCTTCAACTCGTAGGTAAAAGAGAATGTCAGCCGCAGTCAATTGTTCACAAGTAGGTTCTAGGTGAAGTTTGTGGCATGACTAAGGAGCCCGTTTGGGTAGATGACTCAGCAATGCATGAGTTCCGGGTTGTGTACACCGCAGAAAAGAAAAGAAGCATTGCCCGTTTGTACTGCAATAATTCATTACAACTCTTCTGTCAGCCTCCGACGCAACTGTGTCTCAGTCACGAGAAATGCAAATTCTCGCAAGCTGCATTGCATGGGGGCTATGTTTTGCTTTCCAAGGCTTTGATGTTCAGTGACTGGAGGTCAGGGTTCTGCGCGGCAAGCTTTATCTAAGTATGCCTTATCAGATCTCCAAGTGAGTGGAGATACTAGCTGTGCACCCATTACAGACAACCTGAAAGCAGGCCTATGCTTCCGAGGCTCGTCGTTTGGCACTTCCCTCAACCAGCATGCAATTTCAACTTAGGGCACCAGATGTATGTCAAGTAGCTCATTTCCTGAGTCGACCTTCTTGGCGAGGTTGGTCCTGAAGCAAGGTACTGGGATCCAGTCGCCAGAAAATTGGAATCTGTGTATGTACCCCTAAATGACTAGTCACTCTGCTAGATTTGGCGCATTACCCAGAATTGCCTATGCTCCATTATCTTGATCTGCCTAGCTGAGAGCGTCCAATCAAATGACTGCTTCCCGCTGACCGTGTGGACTGTTGAAGGACCGCCTTTCCCAATATTATTGTAAACTGGAACAATGCTGCAAGTCAGAGGGAACATGAGGTTGTTTTTCTATGGGTAACTCGGATTTGGCCTGAATATCTTATTGGCTCATAAGCTTTACGCACGATGCCTGACTTGGCCAAGAATCTGAGTCTGTGCCACACCCTGCAGCACGGCGTGGGACTCGTGAGTCTGCTTGAGGAGATCCTGCGATGTTTGCTTCCTTGCTGCGAATGTTTCACATCAGCTTACTTCAATAAATCATGATGATACTGGCCCCAAGAAAGGTGATCATTTTGCATGGCAACTCCACCACAAGTTGTTATCCGACATCAAAAGGGGTTGTTCCACATCAAGGGACAATATAATTACATCAGCCCGGAAAGACCAATTTAACGATTGCGCTCTCGTTGGATGAAGCGGCCTGCTGCGTAGAGTCCAACTTCTTGAGCATGACGGCCGAGGAAGAATTGACCTCTCATGAGCTATTGTTCTTGGTTACGTCCTCCCTTCAGGACAGTTCATTTTGAACATGGGCACGAGATTGGACATTTTGACGGGCGGACACAGGTCAGTTTGGTTTCACTTGGTGAGACAGTACCAAGTAAAAGGAAAGGAAGAAGGCGCACGCATGAGATGCAATGAATATGAAGAACTTTGATGAAACCTATGTGGATGGGGAGTGGGGCTAGCCGACACACCCGTAGAGGTGTGGCCCTACGCCTGTGTTGAGTTTCCCAGTTTTCTCCTAGGGTCCCTGGGGTACATGCAGACTCTTAAATTCACCCAGCAGTTGTAAAATGATACCAAAAAGGAAATCTGCGAGCCTTCTGAAGCTGTGCAGCACTGCAATCGGTCATCGACATTGGGATGGAAACTGAGACAGAAAAAAGACAGCAACCCTGGTAACGATGACCGACATATGATCAAATGGCATTCTCAAATAACCATTGCTTGGGCGACTGCGAAGAATGACGCACATGTATGGATTCGATTTCGAATTAGACGGGGTTGTGGTGAAAGCCGTGGGCCGCAAAGGAAATTAACGCACTAGGCCCATCTCAGTCCAGCTGAACCGGCCTTGAGGTAAACAGCCCTGAATTAGCAGCAACGTGATTTTTAAGCCACAGAAACATAGACTGACTCTCACAAAAAGGTCTGGCCGTCTGGATGTTCCATGGGGAAATGCTTAACTCAAGGAATTAGGCATAGACCTCCACATCAGTAAGCTAAGCTGCCGTGTCCAGCAGCGCACTCTTGGTATTGTCGCTGGCACTGTCGATGTTCTGTACCAGGCCTGCTTGAAGGTTCCGAGTCTTGAGGCCTAGGGCATTGGCCTTCAAACAACCATGCCACACCAATGCTATCAGCAAAGCTTGGCAGCTTGGTGGTGCTCCGCATCTTTTGTTGCGCAGGCACTCGAGTCCTCTGACGCAGTAGATCCCCCCAATCTGCGAAACGGAGGAGGCAGCAGCTACACCATAATGGTGTGACGGGTGAGCTTAAAATGCATGAAAAACCATCCCTTGACTTGCTGGCTACAGCTGCAGATATGAGAAACCAATGACCTCTAACGCCATATGCGCAGAGGCCGCTGCCTTGCTAGAAGTACAGAACACAGCGTTGGAAGAGTCCTTCGGCCCTGCGCAATCCTGCGGCCAGCAGAAGTGAATCCAGGAATCCTAGAAGCACTGATATGGAAATCAGCCGAAGGATTGGAAGGTGGCCAGGGACCGTTTGATGGCCCAAAAGGGATGCACAGCCGAAGCTCAGCAGCAGGACATGCGCGTGTGGGCTGATCACCAAGTACCCCGCACATCTCGGTTGACTTCCCTTGTCTTCGCTGCTGGCATCCACGCGGGCAGCAAAGGGTGCCGCTTTTTCGGCACACCTGATAGCGATACGCACGCTAATTGGTTGATGTCCAGTGCCGGCTGCTCCCGATTTGAGGAGACACGTACATGATTGTACCCCAGGGAATTGAAGTGCGGCGGCCAAAGTCCAAGGTGAAACATGACACATCCTAAGCAATGCTTGTGCGTATTCCATACGATAGCCGACATACCGTTAGGCAAGAATCATAGTGCGATGTTCGAGAGGGGCTGTGCATCCTTCAAGTGACTTTCGCAAAAGTGAAGTCCCAACTGAAAGTCCTAGCGAAAACAGCCGGCTCTTTCCAAGCCCTTTCCTCAGGTGCGCTCACCTCGCAAGCGGCGGGCCAGCTGGATGTCCTTTTCAGGGCAGCATATCCAACTGTCCGAGAATCTGTTGACCCTCTGCCGGAAACACCAAGCACCAAGCTCTTGTCTCTGATCCTGACCCATTCAACTTCGAAGGCATGGGCTATATGACAGGTTTCCCATGAGTCCTTCGGCATGATCGTGACGCGCTTCGCGTGGATGGCGCACAGGTTCGTGTCCTTTTGAAGCTTTACACTCACTGAGTCTACGCACCCCAACCAACACGCAGTAGCTTGTGTCCTCGAAGAGTCCAACAAGATAGGCCTCGGCAGCCTCCTGCAACGCCAAGATCGCCTGGATGTCATGAAGTACGGTTTATGTATCTTAGTGCTTGGTCATCGAAATTCTCGGGGCTGTGAAGGTAGACATGGGACCTATGAATCCTTGTTTGGCTGCTTCCAGACCCTTGCTTTGTCCTCATTAAGGGGCACGGAGTGCGCTGAAATATTACTACATATTACTACTAATTGCTGCTACTACTGCTGCTATGAATGCAAAGAGAAGTAATGCTATACCACGTAGGGCTATGTCCTATGATCATAAGAACTCCTACGGCCACCACAACTTTGATGATGCGTCGGTAGCCTTGCTGTCTTTACTGATTTGTTACTGCCACATGAACATTATACTCAACATGATCTTACTGTACTTTGCATGAAGGAATATCGGATCAACATCAACAGCAAGTCAGTGTCGTTGACAGGCCTGGGTCTGGAACTTCAGATCGGACTTCACTTCCTGGGCGATTTCCTTCACAAGGCGCTGGAACGGAAGCTTGCGGATGAGCAGCTCAGTCGACTTCTGGTACTTTCCTAGACAGTCAGCGAGCCCAACCCCAGTTACATGAAAAGCTGCACAATGCTAGGATGTGCGATATGATGTGAGAAATGCAAAGGAAAGGGGGCTTGGGGTAGGGTTTACGGCCCCCCAGCGAACTGCAGGCCAATGCCCTTGTTCCATGGGCAGATACCATTCCTCGACGCAGTTAAGTAGTTAGGAGTGCGTGCCTGCAACTTGGGGGACTTAGATTAAAAAATTGGGCTTCGTGTTGGAGGTATCTGGGTTGGAGATCTCTGGTCTGGATTATTGCAATTACAAAGGAAACTCATGTTCAAAATTGTTTCGAATGTAAATCCCTGGCCCATGGCCAAGTTTCGGATCTCACGCAAGGCAAGGACGCCCGGACGATAACGTGTGGTCTTCTTCATGGTGCCGACAACCGGTGCAGCCTCTCAGGAGTCTTCGCACTAGCCCCATCCAAGCAGTAGGGACCTGCTAGGGTTATGGGAACTCACACCGAGAAAAAGCCGCCGCAGGCAGTCGAGACCCATGACCCCTTTGCAATCCGCATAGACCGTAGGGCTCTTGAGTCCTCAAGGGCCCCCTAGCTTCAGGAACCTCATGCGTACGTCTTGTTAATGCACTATGAACGATCTTATCCCTGAGCCTTGCGGGCAGCCTTGGCAACCAAATCTCCGCGTGCTTTCCTTTGTTCTCCAAACCCTGAAGCAAAACTTTCAAACTTTTCATGAGGACTAAAGAAATGCAAGAGCTCAACGCTGTTCTAATGACTGCTAGAGGTTCTGGCCGCCAGCAGACTTCTGTGCTGTCACCTTGGTGCGTGCCATGGCGACAAGGGTCCCTAGGCGGAGGAGATAGCTAGCAATGCAGCTGCTTTCCCTGGCTACGGTTCTCTCGCGGAGCCAAGGTTTCAGTTGCGAGCAACAATTCAGACTTGCAGAGGCTGTGATTCGTGGCATGCAAAAGAGCATTTTAGAGTTCCAGCAGAGCATGGGCATGATGTGGGTTCGGCCCCGCTCTCCTGTAGATGTTGCCACCAGCCACAAGCATTGAAAGGGGCGACGGCACCCAGGACCGCCCGGCCTGCGTAGGAGTTGACCATCTGATCCACGGTCGACTTCTGCGTGTCCATCTTCTGCATGACCGTCTCCTACAGGCTTACGCTTTGCTTCGGCCTGCTTCGCTGCTGACATCTTTGCCCAAGCGGTCTGCCCAAGCCACAGATGCGTTTGCTTTACCCTTTGACCCAAGAGCGGTAGCATTCACCCGCATTCACCAAGGATATCATCTGGAAGTGCCGCATCTTTTTCTGAGATTCTGGGCCCCCCGTATTGTGAGTAGGGCTCAGTGTTAGAAAAGTGGCGATGAATTTTCAACCCACTGCATGTTCACAGCTATCAGGAACGCGCAGAAGAGGCCCTGAGGCGAGGAGAGCCCTGCAAACTGTCGGCTCTCTCTTTTGGAGTTGCCAGCCCTTGCGACCTCTTCACGTCATAAACAGCTACCTTGGTCTATCTATCGCCATCTCAAGAGAAGTCGCGTACATTCGCTAGCACGATAAATTTGAACACCCTTAGAGAGCCAGGAAGAGTGAGCCTAATGTTCTCAACGCACCAACCAATGCTTACTATTGTCAAGTCGGAGGAAGTACAGCCACTTCAGCTCTCCGTCGCAATGGCTCCATTCGGCCCCTCAAACCTTGAACTGCTAATGAACTTCTCAGCACGTGAGCCTGGGAGGAGTCCAGCTTGTGCAGGAGCACCTGATAGGCGCTTCTTGGTCAATCTGGAAACCTTCAGAAATTGGTTCTGCCCAGAAGCCTCGACAAATTGGTTAGGGGCAAGGTTTTACAAAATACAGATTCTGGATCGCTTCTCCGAACACTGCAGAGAAAGAATCTGGACTTTTGCAGGCTTGTACAGTAAGCTCAGAGGACCGCCGCCGAGGCTGTAGGAATAGTGAAGGGGCTTCATCAAACCAAAAATGCGGATATCTCGAGATGCACGCTGCTTTCTCATAGGGACTTTGTAGAGGATGACTTGGTGAATTCCTTTCATCCTTCGGGCAGCCATCAGAACAGACTCTAGAATCGATTCCGTGATTCTAGACCAAGCACAAGAAAAACTGAACTCCTCAAGCATTCCAGGGCTGAGCTCCCAGACTGATGCCGCGAAGGCAAGTCAAAAACTAAGCCTAAACACTCAAACCAAAACCTGAAGCCCTTGATCCTAAACCCCCAGAAACACTCCTGAACCTTGTAGGCTCCAACGCCCCAAGCCCGGACCCTTAACACTAAAGCCTCAAACTGCAGATCCTGACCTGGATGCTTCTGGGACTTTAATTTGAAGCCTACTAGCTTTAGACACTGCTTTATTTTCGGTGTACACATGATAGGTCGCCCTTTTGAGCATAAGAATGATCTTCCAAAGCCCAGCCAAGTCCCCAGAGCCTGGCATGCGTTGACGGTCTGCAGAAGCGAAACCTCAGAGCAGCAGGCGGAGCTTGTAACTCATTGATAACCCTATTCGTTGTTATTTGAAGGCGTCGGGTTCTAGCTTCAAGTGTTTTAGCGCTGATGCTACGATTTAGATACTAGAAGGCCTCAATTTGCAAGATTCAGGGTTCGGAGTTGAAAGCTGCTCTAGGGCTTGTGAACGGGACTAACTGAAGAAATTCATGGAGTTTTCTACAGGAAGAACACCCTACAAAACCCCTGATTTCCGGAACTCTGAGCTGTCATCCAGCCCTTTGAAGCCCTAAACCAAAAACACCTTCAGCCTTGTCCCTAGCAAATGCTACTTTGCACTGCGTGCCGGATGGCCTGGGAGAAGTCCATGCGCTGAGAGATGGCTTCCTGATGTGGAGAATCAGCATTTTGAATTTGGGGGTGCCTCTTGTGCAAAGGGATTTTTTTGCCTGGAACTCATGATAAATGGGATGAAGCCGATTTCCGCGGAAAACCATTGACAATTGGATGCCCTTCCAGTGTTAGCACCGGGCCACCTCCTCCCCCCCCCGCCCTCTGACCCCCTCATGCATCTCGCCTGATAATGGCAGATCACTTGCAAAAAAGTGTCAAAGTAAGGCCTTGCTATAGGAAGAGAAGGTCCCTATTGATTGCTACAAGTACTTTCTCTAGCTTGAAGGATACTGCCCTGGATACGTCCACAACCAGAGCAAGTTGTCTGTGGGGCGTGTTCCAACTTTGAAGGGCCCCTCACCTTTGGACCTTTGGCTTGCGGAGGACGCATAGCCGGGCCTGTGTGCGCTTCTTTGAAAACATCCTAGTTGGCATCCTGCTTTGACGAAGCACCTTCCGAAGAGACAAGGGCACCTTTGCTAAGACTGCTTCGGAACCATGCAAAGCAACGTTGCGGGCGTTTCCCCTCCACCCTTGCAGGCTTGAAGGTTTGGTGCCTGACCAATCTCCCTCTCAGAACAACAGCCATGGAAACAATTCAACCCCTTAAAACCTGGCAATGCACATGTACCTGTCCTGCGTTGTCTCAAGCTGACGCTGTACGTTCCTCAGAACACAATCAGGCTTGCAGGCGGCGCAGGGGCTTGATGCCCCAATGCCAGATGTTTAGAGAAGGTTTCGTGCAACTCCCGGAGCCCAAAACTCGTTGGAGTTCTTGGTTTCTAGCCATTCTAGCCTTTGACATGGCAATGAACTACTTGGATTTGCGAAGCCGCGGCTTCAGATCGATCTTCCAAATCAGCCCGTTTAGTTTGTTGACCAGCTGTCCATTATGTTATTATGTATGTACAGATGAAGATGAAGTGTTTCTGCGTCGCTTTAATAGTACACCACCGCCATCACATGCGCATGGTGTCAGGCAAGCAGCTGATCAAAGCTGCCGCAAGCAGAAAAACTCGTGCTTCGATGCGCTGCCATCAACGCTCCACCCACATGCCAAGAAAGAAACCCCTGGCCACAATCGCGTCTGGGCCCATTCAAGCTCCCACCGCCTTAGCCCAAAAAGTCTCAAGCCTACCCGTACCCGGGCGCTGAACCCTTAAACTCTCCACGTCAATCCGAAACCCTGAATTAGCTTGGAAGTTCCTGAAATGCGGAAAAAAGCGGCTCTTCCATGTTCTGCAGGCGCATCATGACCTCATCTTAGGCTTGTGAAAACTAGGGACCCTTACAAGAAGCCGCAATTTCAACTTATCTCCAGAAAACTCATTTGGACGCCACATGACTCAATGGAAGCACCGAATACAGAGTTAACGACCACAATTTAATTAGAGCAACAAAAACGACCCGGCCGTAGATGCACCCAAATAATGAGAACAAAGTTTGGGCCAATCCTGACACACCGCGCACAAAGAAGGGATGCCTGATGCCGAGCAATCTCACTAAACCACTTTCATGAGCCACATTATAACGTAAGAAAGCATGTGTTGCCCGGTCAGAGGAGTTTGCTTCACGTTCCCTGAATCAGTCCACATGACGTTGTCTAAAATAACTTGTTGATTGCTGCTGGGATCCTGTAAAAAGAGGCTGGGGTCTGTGGAAAACTTCTGAGGATTGTTTTGCCTCAGGCCGGCGCCATGTCTTGGAAAGGCACGAGAACGCGGTTCATGGCGGACATCATGGTCTCCTGGGTCACCGGTCAGCGCAGCAGAAGGGTTTTTCTGCTCCCGATATTTAGCAACGAAATTCAGCAACCAGAGGTGCCATGTCATGTAGGGATACTTTGTATTGCGCTGCTGACCCATACACTTCTCATCATACATTGAAGTAATCCTTTCCAAGCACGCGCCCTGAGATTCCATAAAACGTTCTCTAAGAATGCGACCCTCATGTTACTCCTGTTCAGGATCCACAAAAAAGATCCATGCCTCTTTGATTTTTGCAGTAGCCAACGGCCAGCTTCAAATAACCTCTACAGCTTAGCAAACCGGAACTTGCCTGGCCTGAGCCATACTTTCTACTCTGCTAACGGCCTATACTCCCTATGGCATCGCAGAAGTACAGTAGTGTGGGAGAGAGGACCCTCCCTTATGCTGGGACGTCAGAAGCTAGCAGTAAGTTCCTTGCACGTCTGCCAACATCCTAGTGCATAGGGCTGTAGAAGAACCATGTGGAGAAGCCATCTTCAATCCACTTGCAAGATGACCATGTGACTTCATTGGAAAACACACTGTACTTCTAGCCCCGAACTCTAAACATTGTTGGCCCATCCTGTAGCCTGGCAAATCTTGGGTGGAATCCCTTGCATGTGCCCGCAAACAATAGCCAAGCCCCTCCCAAGTGACGGAATGGGAGGACTGTTGCATGTGACCAAGTGGAAGGAATATTGGGGCAGTCCTAGCCCAGGCATGGTGCCAACAATCTCCTGCCTGCCTTCACCCCCGTCCCCTCTCCCCCACAGAGGCCTCCAGGGCGACTGGGTCCATGCCTCGACTGCAGGTTGTTTCCACGTCTCGTGCTGCTGGTTCTGAGGTGCGTCACAAACATGCCTTGTATTGTATCCGGCGTGAGCCTTGTTTTGAAATGTTGTATGGAGCACTTTCGAGGGACAAAGCTTTCCATCTGATATGCCTGAAGCCCGTGCGGGAAGGGAAAACTCAAACGCCTGCCGTCGACTCCTGATCACAACCCCATCCCTTTCAACTAAGCCTACGGTTCAGAAACACAGCCGTGACCATGACCCAGAATCATCCATGGCCGATGCTTCGAATCACAAACTCTGACCGAGGTACCCATGCCCATGCCAGCGATCGGTGGGGTTGCAAGGCCGGAGCCCCTTGGATGCTTTGCTGCTCAGGCTCGAGGGACGAGACTGAGAAGCTTTTTGGAATCCATGGCTTATGATGCCGACACTCAGTTGCGATGCCTTCATAGCAGAGTGCTGCAGGAGGGCTACCACCCAAAACACACACATGGAGGTGTCGCTTACCCACTGCTGGTTTACCCTGATGTCGTCTCCACATGCCGTGATAGCATTGCACCCTCTTTGCTGCGGGACTTGAGAAAGACACGATGCTTGAAGGAAACCACTCAGTTTCGGATACTGCTGGCAAGTCCGGATCGATGCGAAATCAGGGCTCAGAATCACCTAGACCCAGATTGCATTTGTTCAGCTTGATCAGGCCTGTTAGCACACCGAGGCGCTATGGATGTCTGGGCTCAACCGTTACAGAGAACCAGTAACGGGTTGCATGCATACCACAAAGCTGTAGCATCGCTCCAGGTACAAAAGATTGCGAAAGCATGTATTATAAATGGCCAAATTTTCTACATGAACTGGAACAACCCGCTGCCTTGATCAGTAGGTTCACGAAAGGGACCGAGTTACCAATTCAAGGACGCACATCCATCTGGAAAAGGCTTGATCTCAAAGACCCGCGAACCCTACAGCTTCTCCAAGTGCAGGATGGAGATCATCAGCGGCCAAGATTTGGCTGGGCGAAGGCAGTATTGTGGAAGTGCTCGGGCACACAGCTCTTCCAAGGCATTATCAGGTTTTAGCAGAGCCTCGACCTTGCCTGAAGAGACTCTTGTAAACTTGAAGCCCTGATGGTTTGAGAACCAGAAACACTGAACTTCCACCCTCAAATCGAAATGCTCTGAACATCAATGAACCTTAATCTCTGCTGGTAAGAGGCGGCATGCCAGGCAGGGCGTTCATGAGACCCTTGACATTCATACGCTCCTATTTGGGCGCTGGCGCGGCGCGCCGCAAACAGCGGGAAACACTACAACTTCAAGCGCTTTAGGCTCGGGCTCAATGGCATCAACAGAAGTGCATAGTTTGTTAGGTCTTGTGGTCTTCCTGTCCTTGTTTCAAAGGTAAAATAAGCAGCAAACATCTTGAACAAACCACGAAGCCACCCGTCTGTCTATCCTGCAGAGACTCATATGTGACAAGTTTATTGAAAAGCGGGGTGGGTTCGGAAGATATTGGAATCCCCAGGCCTTCCCGTGCGAGGCCTGTGCTGGAGTTCCCTAAGTCACTCCAAAACTACCTATTTTTCATGGGGGGCAATAGTCTTTCAGGAAATCAGATCCAAGGACCCATACTATCCTCATGGGAGGAAATGCTCACTTGTTAGATCTGAGCTTGGTGTTTGTGTACGTACACATGTGTACACATATGCTTTGTTGGTACCTTCTTCGATGTCTCACAAGGCCTTGTATTTAAATGCCGACTACGCCCCGGGTGCTGTGAACGCTAGACGACGACATCCTTAAAATGACTGATAATGAAGCCTGTAGACGCCGGATCTCAGAGAAGCCTACACCCTCCGCCAGGGACTTCAACCGGGCTCCTTGTTTGCTTCCAGAAGCTTCTTGAAGGGATCCTCCTTCTCCCCGGTGGAGCCACCATTGTCCTGGCCAGGGCTGTCTTTGGGCATGTTCAAAACATCATGCCCTTCAGGGACACATCTGATCTTCCAGTCGGCTTGGAAATAATACAAGACAAAACGGGCCAAGCTGGGTCACTCTATGTTCAAGGCCAGAGCAGAGTGGCGTGGTTGGAAGGATCTTTCCACAGGACGTTCCAAGGGAACGTGCGATGGCTTACTCACACTTTCTCCTGGAAGGACGTCTAGACTTTAGAGATTGGAACCAGCCAGCCCCCTAACAATAAAAGCGCCCTCTGATTTGTAAAAGACGCTGTGTAGGGGCCACCTGAAGGGCCATCAGCTTCAGAAACACCAGATCATGCAACACTAACAGAGGTTCGTTGTGAAAGCCGAACATCAAGTATCGAGTTCGAAGGAAGGGAAGACCTTGTGAATTCCTTACACGGGCTGCTCTGCCAGATCCTTGCCGTTCAGATTTCCGGAAACCAATTCAGAATTGTCCCCCACCAAGGTGCAGGCTTTCAAATTGAGGCAAGATTCATAAGCCTGGATTTTTCTGGATCTGTCATGGAGATAACATGCTAGTCTAGTAATGAGCTGTAACGGCCGGCACCTACCCTCTTTTGAACCACCTTTTGAACCACCACCACCACCACCA